TGCAGGCCAAGCGAAGGCCAAATTTGGCCACATCACACCTCCTTTCCACGGACCCCCTTTTCGTCGGTGCAAGGCCGACGGGGATCCCAATGTCGAAGAAGATGGCGACTATGAGGGGAAAGAAGGATGTCAGGCAACTTGCTAATGCCGTCAGCGATGTAAATTCGCGCGACTCTGTGAGAGGCCCAACGGCCCTTTAAAAGGGCCACTTCCATACTTCCTGTAGTCTGCACAACCCACGTAGCACCGCCTCTCCTTAAGCTGTAAGGCCTGAAAGAAAAGCCTTGGAGGCGAAAGCGCCGCATGTAAGAATCGAAGTGATTCCTAAATGCCTGGCCAGGAAATTCCCACAACCTGTGATGCAGGATCTGTTTGCTGGCCATCAGTTCACGCGTGGTTTGTGCTACCAAGACTGCGAATGGATGATCACACGTGACCATTTCATCGGCGGCATTGCGCTTGCCAGTCTTGGTATCTTTAAGTGATACAACAAGTCTTTTTGAATTCACCAACAGATCTTGTCCTCGTAGGGCCAAAAGCTCGCCTGTACGCAAGAGCGTAAAGAACCCCAGTGCCATCAAGCAACAAAAGAACAAATCATCATGGCACAATGCATAGTGGGCAACGCTAAGAACGATGTCATACGGCAGGGGAGGTGCACGAGCCGGCCATTCCAACTTTTTCCAGTTGGCGAAAAGTTTCCAAGCGGATGGAATTCTTCTCTTGGTCATCGGCTCGAAAAAGTGGAGGCCTGACAAAGCGTTGCCGACGGTATACAACGACTCTCCATCTTCCCAACACAGGGCCACCCATTCTGCGCACGCCAAATCAAGTTCAGCCTCACTTTGGATGCCTTCAATGAATGGTAACAACAGACTCAGCGCGACAAAGTAAGCGGCTCGAGTCTTGGCGGTAATTCCCGCCAACCTCAGGTCAAGGCCTCTCCGGGCAAACCTCCTTTCGGCACGAGTCCGCTTATGGATGACTCTTCCGACGACTCTCGGCATCGGTCGGGTTTTCAGTGCTCTCAATGTGGCCTAGGATGAGAAATACACCATATAAAAGGAGGTGGGCATTGAGGATTTTCAACACTCGATTGAGCATTTTACTGCTAGACCTTCCTTTTGCAATCACGCTAATCGAGACATAGGAATCGCTGATGTGGAAGATCCGGCGATCACTCCATTGGTCTGACTTAATGCCTCGCAGCACACTCAACAAAATAGCCTTTAATTCAAGTTGATTAATGTGTTGTGGTCTCGCTCATTGTGTCCTAAAGCCTCTTTGCCACACAAACCATGCCGACCGAATCGATTGACGAGGGAAAGCACGGGGATTAACCAATGTACCACTCAAAACTCGGACATCACTGCCTGTAAAGTTAGTACGACCAAGCATCAACAAGTTGAAATCACGCACTGACCCTGAACCTTCAGCCTCCGCCACCAGTTGACAACCATACCGAAGTTCTCGGCTTGGAGTCGGAGAGCGGCTCGAAACCCCGGAGCTAATCCCATCCTCTGGCAAAGGTGCCGGTAGTGCATCTGGGGGAGAAATTGTTTGCAAAGTGCGGCACCTACTATTGAGAAGGAATAAATACTGAAAGCGTCACCGATCAGTGAACATTTTTCCAACTCATAGGCCTTGGGATCTTGTTTAATACGACTAGCCGACCAAGCAACATCACAATGTCCAAAGCCGTAACCCATCAATAACTCCCTCTCAGAACTATTGGTGAGTCGCCAAGAACTGTTTCTCCACAGTAGGAACTCTTCTCGAAACTGATAGGGCGGGTAGACATACCCCGTGGCCGCCCACCTTAACTGGCAATCCTCATCAGCCCTGTGGATCCCAGCTGGTTTGCAAGGTGGTTCGGTTTTCCAAACTGCTCTCATACATGTGGGAAAGCTTCCTGCCACCTGTTCGCCTGGCCATGAAAAACCCGGTGTGATCCATTGTGAGACCTCTGGGTACTGGGACTTAGCGACCACCCTATTCCACCTTCTATCTGGCTCAACCTCTATACCTATATGAGAACCTTCGATGATCTCAGTTGTCCAGCACAATCTTGGCCGCTTGAGTGGCACAGCATCAGCAGAGTCCAAATAGTACGGCCTGCATTCCATCCATTCTGAAATCTCTGCTGAAGCGCTCTCGTCCATGGATGCGACATTTTCTGCTGCTACCTTAATCTCCACTTCCTCAGGAAACGTCTCACGCAGGATTCCCCAAATCCGAAGAAATTCAAAGAAGAGGGAACTCTGATTTCCCTCCAAATTCCTTCGATTGGCTCGAGCTGAGCTGAGATCTCTGCAAGGAAAGCCTCCCCAAAGATGGACTTTTCTTGACGGTATGGAAGCACCGCTGCCAGGCTTGTACCGTCTCTGATGTGATGTCTCTAACATCTCGGAGGATTTCCACACCAGGCCACTGGCGACTCACAATTCTGTTGGCAGGAGGGTGGATATCTACTGCCACAGCCCCTTGCGGGGCAATATCCAGAATATCGTAAATCCGAAACGTACCCCCTATCCCGGAAAAACAACCCGACAACCAGGATAGGGGAAGTGCCCAAGCTTCTGCAAGAAATCCTGTTAGAGAGAACGAAGTCTTTCCCCTGGGAAGTCAACTCTCTACTGAAACCAACTGCTCCCCCAACCTCCGAAGCATCACTACACCACAAAGTGTCATCCACCTGTGCTCCTAGGTGTGTATGAAGCAACGGGATCGCACCAACCAGCCTCGAAAACTCTCTTTTGGTTTTAAGAGCCAGCTGTTCACCTTGACCTTGTTTGCTGACAAATTTCCAACAATCATCCAAAAAGCTCATGCCAGCCCTACGGAATTGCAAAATGTGAATCCAGCGCCCAGCAACCACTTGCACCATCTTCCGTTTCAAGAACCTTTGGCCCAACATCCATAACGTGGCCTGCACTAGTTTGCAAAACCTGTGGGGGGAACCTCCAATGATACCCACTTCGCCTTGTAGCAATGCACCTAATTCCTCAACCTCCTTTGAATCTCGGACCTGCTTCTTTTCCGCCGAGAGGATACCGTGGCTTTTCCATGTTGTCTCAACCTTGTCATGCACCTCATTTCCTACTTCTGGGGGAGCTCCTCTCTTTCTCCTGTCTCCTCCCATAAAATTGTCAAGGTACACTTGCCAAAAGTATTTGTCTTCCTTAACAGCTTCAGAAGCCGTTTCCAGAAGAACCCGGGGGACCGGTTGACCTCTCCTGATCTGGGCGTGCCGGACCAGACCAGCACGCCACAACACTTCCTCCGAAACCTCCTGCATTAGGGAAACCGAGCTGTGCATACCCATCGGTAGGACTTTGCATGCTAAATAATAAGGCTCCGAGCCACTCATCCCCACAACATGCCCAGGGTACGACGAAACCCCAAAAGCCAGGTAACCCAACCAGACTCTCGGGAGTTGAAACAGGTAGAATGCCGAAGAGATATCACTCTGATAGAAATGAAGCGATTGATCACACTCCAAAACTGCTGCCTGCCATGCCGTGATTGCAGGTAGACCTTCCACTGCTCCACGAACCTGATGCATCGCACTGTTTGTTGCTTTGAGGTTCATGATCACTCGGAGGACGTGAGAACCATCAGGCAGCGTTGCCGGCTTCTTCACTCCAAACAAGCCATTCAGTACTTTGACGCCTTCCAACACAACCACTTCGGACGACGGGATCCACTCACAGATCCCATGCTCAACTAGGGTTTTACAAACTTGCAGCTTCTCACCCGGTCCAAAGTGAGTAAGCCCTGGGATTTTCGGACGAGGGTGATCAAACTTGTTTTTCATCAACTTCTCAGGGTTTTCCAGAATCCGTTTGGTAGCGGGGGAAACCAGGTCGACTAACCTAATTGAGCCTCCATGTCCCAAAGGTGGTAGAGCAGGCAACACTTGCTTAAGGGTCAAAGCTTCACACATACCAACCTCTTCACCACAATAATCAAGTTTAGCCCCTTCCGGCTCCTTCCCAACTTTTTCAAAGGGCTGCAGCGGACAGCAGTAACACTGCAAAAGTCTCTCTTGACAGCCTTTTTGGCTGCTGCAGCACCTCGTGCTTCCAACTTTGTCCAGCCTCCAGGTGCCAGCGGTTTCATTGCCCCCGCCAGGCCATTGGTGGACTGCAAGCACAACATCAACCAGGCGTCAATCGCCCATCTTTCGGAGAATTCCTCACTGCCAGCCTCCTCTAGACTTGCAGACTTCAAAGCTCGAAAAACATCCTCTGTCTCTCCTCTTCTCAAGGGAAACGCGGCAGCCTTGCGAGGCCCCACGTGACCCGCTGCGGCCTTCTCCATCTCATACAACACCTTTCTGACCCAAACCCATGGGCCAGAGCGAACACACTCCACGGCCTGAATCGACAACCATGCTAGCAAGGTTCCAGCGTTCTTCAAATCTCGAATGCATGCCCCGACTGCTAGACATATCTCTTGGCCGGATGACCACTCCTGTTCAACCTCTCCTCCTGCATGGCCTGACAACACAAGCGGTTGTGCAACAACCTTCGCTCCGCTCCTGTCCTCAGGCTCAACGAATTCCTCATCAACTCTCTTCAAATCTGGCGCCTTGCCTCGACACTCCTCCGGAGGACTCACAGTCGCCACAACGCACTTCATTTCTCCTCCTTGTCTCCCTTGTCGTGGGAGTCCTTCCATTTGTTCTTGCCCTTTCCTTCTCGGTCGCTCCAGCCTCCTTTCTCTTTTCCCTTTGATCCTTTCTTTCCTTTTCCCTTTCCTTTCTCTGCCTGCCAACTTCCCTTCTGGCCTCCGAACCATCCTCGCTGCCAGCCTCTGTTTGGAAGCCAAGCATCTGGGGTTTCGACCTTCAGGCTTGTCTTCGCATGCTTTCTTGCCTCGAGCAGCATGGCCGCCGAAGTTGCATGCTGATCTTCTCCCTCGTGGACTTCGAGATACCTCGCCTGGCTCCAAGAAGCATCCATCAGTGCTTGATGCGCTGCGAGGAAGTGGCCGGCCAGAAGATCGCATCCTCTTCCGATTGAACCTCCTCCAACGACAAGTCCCTCATGGGTCCCTTCAGGTGGCCATAATGCGGCTTCACATGGAGCTGGAAGTAGGTCATCAGCTTGACTCCTTCTGTAATCGCACTTCCTCCTCCTCTGTTGATCTCTACTAATGCCCCCTGGTCCAATGCTGCTTGTGCTTTCTGTACCAACAGCTTCAGCACGGCACCGGGGCATGCTTTTGATCTTTTTCCCAATGGCGCTTCCAGTTGATCTTCGCTGCTGCTGCCTGAACTTCCTGACGAATCTTCCGGCGAACTCCCACTTGGGCTTGTACTCACTATGACCCCGTTGACGAGTTTCCTTTTCTTTGATCTTTTCTTCTCCTTCTTTCGTTTCTTCTTTTTGGAGGATCGACTTCGCTCTCTGCTCTTCTTCGGGGGATCCTTGTCTCCGTCTCCTCTCTTGTGACCTTTCTTCTCCGCTTGGTTGAGCAAAGCAAGCAGGCGTTCCCGTTCTGTCTTTTGATCGTCCTCTGAAAGCCTCTCCTGCTTCCTTTCTCCTCCTCTTCTCTTCATCCTCTCTTCTGCCAAGTGTTGAGCCTGCCTCACTAGCTGAGTCGAGACATCTTTCGAAGAAGAACCTCTTGTAGCCTCTACCTTCGTCTTCTTCTTCAAAGTCGTGCCACTCGTCAGGGTCAACTTCTCCTCCGCAAAGCCGGAACCTTCCTCTCTCTCCTGCGACTGATCCTCTCCATCTTCCTCCTCTGGAAGCCTTTTGAGGTCCTTGATACTGGCTCGAACTGGTCCTCCAAGGCGTTCTCGAACTGCGTCCAACCTCTTCCTCAACTCGGTTGTTGACATTTGTTCCGGGTTCTCCTCCAAGCCGGCATCCCAGCCTCCTGTTCTCTTGTCTTCCTTTCTCTTTGCCGACTCTCGATCTTCTCGTCCACGCTCGTCCAACTCGACTTGTACGCTCTTCTTCAACTCCTCTCCTGAGCCAAACGCGACACCTTTCCCCCTCGCCCGCGCCTGGGAGGCGGCACGGCCAGGACGCAGCGCACTCACGCGCGCAGCGCGTCCTTTGGGAGAAGGTTTCAACTTGGCCTCTTCTGCACGCCTCTTGTGGCTGGCCTCCTCTTCTCTTCCAGCATCTTCTCCTAACCAACTCAAGTCCGAAAGAATGCTCCTGTCTCCGTGATGACCAGCCTCCATCTCTGCCTCCTCGCCTGCTCTCGCCTCTTCTGTAGGCTCGTCTCCATCCAGCCATTTCGCAACCTGCCGTCGGTGTGCGGCCATGAAGTAACTCGCATTGAAACCTTCTCTGGTGAAAGCACGTAGACGAGTCACGTGAAGATATCCTTCTTCGGCTTCCGTGCAAGGCCTCCCAACGCACAAATGAAGGAAGCCTTCTCTCCTGTTGAACTGGTTTGAAATCCTCTTGTTCAACTGGGCATCTGAACACCCGACTCCATGCGCCCTCAAGGCCAAGCCGCCATCGCCCGTTACCAGGCGGTCCATGATGACAAAACCTGCAGACGCCTTTGAAACGGGGTCCCAGTCGGTCGACTCGAGGGGGATTTCGACAAAATCTCCTCTTCCTAGGTTCAACAACGCCCACTCTTCTTTCTCCTCCATGCTGTAGCTTGTGCCCTCCTGCCACCCTGGGAAAATGTCTTTCAACGCGGACATGGCGGCGGCCTCGGGAGGTTAGCAAGTTCTGCCTCCCTCAAGGACCTCAAGTCCTCTACCTTCCTCTTGCGATGGAGTCGAACTCCAGGTTTTGATCCTCTCGTCGATGACTGCTGGTGCTTGCGGCCACCACGACGATCTCTCTTCCTCTCTTTCTCTCCTCTGTCTCTTCTCTTGTGCCTGGGCTTCTCTTTTGAGCCTTTCTTTGAACTGGATGCTTCACCACGATCTCGATGTCTTGTCTCAATCTCCTCCTTCTTGACCTCGACCTTCGGTGCTGGCACCGGGGGGACAGCTGCTGGCGGCTTCTTCGGGGGAGCCCTCTCTTCTTGCACCTCGTCCTCCTCTTCAGCCTCCGTGTACGTGTACGAGTAGGACTCCTCAGGATCTGGCTCAGCCGCTTGAGTCTCCTCAGCCTCCTCTCGCGGTCGCGCCGGTTGTGACTTTGGAGTCACCCCCGCAGGGCCAGGGCCAGCGGGTTCAGGAGGAGAGACCGCCGGTGGTGAGGTTGCTACCGGCCCGAGTCTCAGCGACAAAGTCCTCAAGACCTTTGTCTGCCGAGCAGTGTCGACCAGCAGGTCGTTGACCGCGCGCCTGAGCTCGGTGTTCGCCCAGCGCGCTCTGAGGTCTTCCTGGATGTTTTCCAGGGCCGAGCAACCCACACACCAGCTATCTTCCAAGGCACTAGGATGCTGGTGGCACTTGTTGCACCAGGGTCGTGGCATACGACCAACCACTTTTAAGCCGAAAGTGCGATCGGAACGAATATTCTCCCTATGACTCTAAAGAGTGCAATGGGCGTTGAAAGTGCGACCAGTGGACCGATCGTTTTTAGATCACATTTCTACAAACCCCAGTGTCGTTTCTTGGTCTCGCAAAGAAAAACCTCCGGACAAGTGCCAATAGATCGATTCCAATCCAAATAGAGAGCTACGAGAATGTGACCAAAGAAGTGCACCAAGCGTCCACGGGGCGGAGGCCATTGCCAAGGCGAGCATTAAGAAAATCAACGAAAGCTTGGGCTCCTTCGAGCTGACCATGGCCTCTCCTCAGCTCGTGTGATGTTGCTGCAGCAAATAGGTGAGAAGCTCTGAATGTATCAGCAATGGCATAGGTGTAAAGCCTGTGTAGTGGAAAAGTCGTCCCCAAGTTAAGTGTCCCTAAGAGCCTTTCAAATCAAATGGAACTTTAAGTGTTGGATACTTCGTACTTGATAGTACTTGATTGCGTGACCTTGTCTCAAGTGCCTCCGTGAGATGGACGGGTGGCATCCGTGTACACAGGAGTTGATTCAACTTTCCCTCCGCACACAGGACTTTGGTGTCCTCATAGCTGGAGGGAAGGTTGTGATAATAACGTTTGCAACTGGATTGCATGTGAACCATACTCTGACGATCTGATCACATTTGTCTTGATGTTTTCAGAAGACGTTTGGAGGATTTGGGAGGACTTACCATGTCAAATATGATTTTGTATCAAGTTAAGCTGTGATTTCAGGGCAAAAAGAAACGGAGGGCTTTGGGGCTCATTTCCGGTGGAGTCTGAACTTGTGGGAATCAGGCGAATAAAACTTCTTGAAATGAAAGCACCAGGACATGCAAAGTGATATTTTTGTCATCTTTGGAGTCTCTAGGTGACCTTTTGCAGGCGTAAGTGACCTCATCCTGGGATCTGAAGTTCGGTCATTTTGATCATTTTGAAGGTCCTGGAAACGACCTGTTTCGATGAAGATGAGAGATGAACAAAGGAGAGGGTTTTGAGAAACACAAGACTCTGTCTCTAACAGAACACTAACCTAATAGCGATGGCCTCCAACCCAAGAGCGATGGTGTTTATGATGTTATTTTGGATGATGTTGGTCCTTCCATGCATCCCCCATCTACGTTGATTCCAAGTCAAGAAGAGGAGAAAAAGAGTTGCAAGCCTGTTCGGCGCACGAGTCCCTTCTGTTCAACGGCCCAAGGACTATGGTTGATGAAACGACCGTGGTGAGGCAAACGACTGCTATACGACTGCTGTGGGGTGGGGGAAATCCTCCAAATTGACCTTCCAAGCGATCCCCAGGTCGACGTATCCCAAGAACCGTCCTGGTCATTGGTTGTCACTTCTCACCTTTTCTTCTGGGAATTGTCCAACATGATGAAACTGTGACTCAGCCAACCATCTCATCCAAGAGGTCAAGACTTTCAATCAAAAAGTCCGTCCGGCAACCGCCCAACATCTGATAGATCATCTGATCAACCAGGTGCTGTCGCCTTATTGAACGGGTTGATGGCTGTGTATTTCCATCTATCCATCCCAACTGTTGCGTATGGGCTCGTGGGACCTGTTAAAGCACCTCTCCTGCATCACCCAAAGCATTGGCAGCCTCTGGCCAAGTCGCGGATCGCCTGGATGGTCAAGCCTTGCTTCTCAGACGTTGGCGCCTGTGCCCCATCCGAGGGTGAGACAAGCCGCTGCTTTTTGGAAGGTGTGGCTCTCCTCCATCGAAGTGTTGGGAGATGGTGGGAGCAACAACCAACAGTTGGCAGTTGGAGCTGAGCACCAACAGGATAATATGTAAGTAAAACATGGATGCTTTCTGGTCTGACTACAGGTGCCCAGGCATGCCGGACCCGCCTGTCACTCCACCAGACCGGACCCGCGGACCCGCGGGAGAAAACATCGGATTCCACACCGATCCTCTAGGGGTTTTGGGAGTCGAAGTGAATCCCACGACCGCCCAGGCAGGAAGTTCAGGAAACGAACGAGTTTCCAATAGAAATGGCATCCAACCTAATAGCGATTGCCTCCAACCTAATAGCGATGGCCTCCAACCTAATAGCGATGGCCTCCAATCTAATAGCAATGGCCTCCAACCTAATAGCGATGGCCTACAACCAAATTTAGCGGTG